CCCCCCCCCCCCCCCCCCCCACCCCCACACACAGACATACACACACCCAGCAAAGACCAGCATATATACAGTACAATAATATGTTTGAAAAATTGCCACATCTCTCTTCTACAAAGAGCAATTTGTGGTTGCAAACAAGGATTTTACAGGGTTTTGTCATTTGAGCACAGCAAGTCCCAGTTCCCAAGTTTGTACCGGAAGTGAAACATTTAATTTAAATTACAGTAGACGTGAAAGTTCACGTATGAAACTCTTTCAGCTTGTAGCTTTTGGTAGCTACATCAAGTGAACAGCACATGGCTTTCTTGAATTAACTTTGTGGTTAAAATTTGGGTTCATAAACGTGGATACAACCTTCCGTCTGCCATTCAAAATAATACACGAATGCCCCGTATCCGTACAAGCTCCTACAATTTGTGTCTACCAGCAGGTCTGCAAGACGCTCCACATCCGTATTGTACCATGTTTTTTTTTTCTTTGAACTGATATTTTTTTATATCAATTAAGCTTACCTGTCAAAGAGAAGTTGATGAAAATCATCCCCATTACAGAAAGGGAAAGAAGGCACACCTTTTTGGACATTTCGATCTTCTGGAATTTTACCTGCAAAGATATTCAAGCTTACTGCGTCAAAACAGTCTTGAAAGTACTCGCTATAGTACGAAAGGCGAATGAAACAATAGAACTTTGTGTTTCAACGTAATATGTGTTTGGGCTTCATAATTCTGCTCATGAATATGTGACAACAAATACCGACAAATATTTTTGCACTCAGGCTCGATTATCAATCCTCCTCTCATTCTTAGAGACGAAAATGACAGTTTTAACTTATTTTACAGTCTTTGTTCCCTACGTTACTCAACTGAAATAGAAATCGACACCGACCAAACTCAGCTGAGTTTTCTTTCTACTAACCTTTCTACTTTCTTTCCAGTTTCGTTCCGCGATCCGCGATGTTCTTCTTAGCCTGTGTCACAGCCGCCTCTCTCCGGAAAAAAAGTCTGAGAGAAAATCTCTATCCGAGTTTTTTTCCGGGAAGCCGCGGCTGTGACAGAGGCTATGTTCTTCCGGTTTAGCCAGTTGTAAAATTATGGTCAGCGGAATTTCAACGCGTTTTGTAAGCGTAACTGTTGAGGAACTGTTGAGTAGTATCAGAAGGCTTGCGGTATACAAAAGGTGAGAAAACAAGTGTTTGAGTTTAGCTAAGACGTATAAAAGGGACATAACTACGTACTTGAATATGCACTTTCCTCAGCTGCAAGTAGAGATGAACATTTCACTCGATTTGCAGTTTGTTGTTGTGGAAAGCGGCAGCCATGTTGTTTTCTGGTACTTTGATATGCTTCAAATAACTCTCAAACATTCTCAAAATAGAAACGAAAACTCCAAGAGACAAAACCTTAGTTGAAAGATGATAATTGACAAACGAAGCAGTCGAATGAGCGTGCTGTTTTGCCCTAAATCTCAAGTATCATCTTTCAACCTAGGTTTTGTGTTTCGCGCGGATTACAGTATGGGGCCCAGTTCTCGGCCACAAAAAACTTAAACTTGCATTTCTTACCTTGGAATAAGCGTAAGGACTCAAAATTTCACGCACAACTAGCTTCAGCGTTCAGTTTACACATGTAGAGCTATCGACTGCTCAACGCTGCTTTCTCCCGAGTAATAACGAAGATGGAGGCTTCGTTCTTGGGCCCAGTTACCGGCCAGCGGGTCCAGTTCTCGGCCACAAAAAGAGTGGGCGCGATTCCTCAGAATAAACAACGCTTTATTACCATTTTCTGTTGTTAAATCACTTATGAGGCTTGTGTTTTGATATTTCGATCACAAATTATCCTGAAAGAGCTTTGTTTCATGTTAGAAATGGAAGCTTTTTGCACACCTAGTTTTTCTCTTAAGTGCAGTCACGCGAGGCTAAAAAAGAGTTGGGTATTTAAAATGGGGTTAGGTCAGAGCTCATAGTTTTCAACATGCCATCCCATTACAGCTTTATTTTTACAACTAACTTGACACGAATACTCCACACAAAACTATGAGCGCTTTTAGTGTTGAAGGCGAGCAGGGTGGCTGAGAATANCTTTATCACTCTACATCCTTTATGCCAAGAATTGGCTCATTTGGGCTTTCTAGACAGACAAAATATAAACTTGAATTAAACCATGTAATTCGAGTAGCTGTAAACAAACACGTTTTCGGAAAAAACAAATTCACGTACCTTCGCGTCACCTCAATGTGCTCACAGAAAAACTCAGCAGAACGGAAGACAAGGAATCAAGCTACCTTTGGAAACAATTGCTTTTTATTCAGATTCATTTGTGGCGTGAAAAATAAACGCTGAACAAAAAGTGGCCGAGAACTGGGCCCCACACTGTATTGCATAAGAAAAGTTTCTTCCAACGGCACCATCTTTAAAACTTTAGCTCCAAAATCAGTGTAGTGACACCTAATATTTGCTGCATTTCTGCATAAGTTGGTTATAATCTAACTATGGCAAAAATTTCAAAACAATCTGAATGTGAGAACATTAATTTTGGGCATGAACATAAGAAAAAGTGGCCATGAGGTCAAGGTTGTGTTGATGGGTATAGAACGGTTTTCAATAATATTGAGTATCGCAAGTAATTAGGCAGTTACTTTGGTTTTGGTTTTTATTTTGGTTTGGCTGATTAGACTAATTGGTAAGTAATAGGTTTAGTTTTAGATTTACAACACTCAATCCAGTGTAGGAAAATAGATGGCGGCTGTACATTTTACCACATTTTACCACAATGCCTTGTGAGCCTAAAGGGCACATGGAAAGCAAAATGTCTACAATGTTTGTCCTTGTACTAAGGATATTGAGCACCCTAGGTTTGAAGATTTTTTACATTTCTGTACATTTTTATCAACGTTGTTAAGGTTTTCATGCGCTAAGAACTATGCGTAAATGTACCAGTTGCCATTTTTTTTCCTACGGAGGATTGAAAACAGCCTTATGACAAATTTACTTCATTGTGATCGGCTGAGAGCAAGCATATTTGTTGCTAATTTTCAGTGTCCACCGTAGTGCAATTAACATGTCATTCTCAGTCATATATTAAATGATTTATTGTAAAAATGAATGATTTACACTACTTGTGATATGTGAAAATTCTTTAAAATTGCACTCACCTTAATTCCCCAAAGGCCAATATATATTATTTTGAGAGCATTTTCAAATATCACTCGCAGTTTAAAATTATCCTTGATTGCACTCACATTCATACGATTTCCCATACAATGCTTATTTTGTTCAATACATGTCTATCATACCTATTTACAGCATGACAGAAAAATTCAAGATGCTAAGAACCCTGTTACCAAAGCCTGTGGATACCAACAGTCAAGCTGTACCAGCAGTGAGTCTGGATGACCTTAGAAAACAACCAAGGAAAAAAACGACATTTAAATGCAACCAGTGTGGCAAGCATTTTGGTTCATCTTGTAATCTCAAGAAACATAAAATAACACATATGGAAGTAAAGCCTTTTAAATGCGATTACTGCCACAAGACATTTGCTCAATCAATACAGCTTAAAAATCATGAGCGAACACACACAGGAGAGAGACCTTTTGCATGCAGCCACTGTGACAAGAGTTTTCGTCAGACGAGATGTCTCAAGCGACATCAAAGAATACATACAGGCGAAAGACCATTTTCGTGTGACCAGTGTGGCAAATGTTTTACCCGGCGTGAAATTCTCCAGGTGCATAAAAGAGCACATACAGGAGAAAGACCATATACGTGTAACCAGTGTGACAAGAGTTTTACTCAACCGTATGATCTGAAAAGACATATACGAGTACACACAGGAGTACTTCCTTATAAATGCCAGGAATGTGGAATGTGTTTTAGTCAGTTAGGGTATCTTAACAGACATATCGAAAGGCATGCGTCAGGAAAGTATTTTCGATGTTCACAGTGTGGTCGGTATTTTAAGAACAGTGTGCGCTTTTCTAGGCATCAAAAACTGCATGCTGAAGAATCGCAGTCACCTCCTGAGGAGTGGGTAACTGCTTCAGTATAAACTTTTTAGCAACAATGACAGGACATAAACAAGTGCCTATTAGGCCCTTATATTCATTTTGGACTGCGGCATATATTACAGAAAGCAAGAGAACTCTGCAGTTGCTATTTAATTAAAGGAGTGCATGAATTATTTATTTTTCAAGGGCTGTGAAGCTTAATCTGTGCTTAGAAGGGGCATTCTCAATGCTTTGTGTGCTATGGTACACGTACATCATTTTCATGTGTTTTTCTTGTTGTAAAAATGCACCCTTGATGGAACCAAACTCGCTGAAATGTTTAGGTTACGTAAACTAAGAATTTAGGTGATGTGGATGCTACAATGGCAAAGTGTCTATTTCACCAAATGAGTTCATTTCGCTGTAACCTCTGTTTGAGTAAAAGTCTCCATGGGTCTCGTGCAGTTTGCACGGTGTTAGGTGCTTTAGGCGAGAAATTTCAAATAAGCATCTCTTGCTACATGTAGCGGAGGTTAAGAGTCGCTTTTAATATAGTTTATGTCCAAATGGGGTTGTAACTGCTTATTGCCATTCATAAAAAGTCATCTTCAAAGCATGAAAATAAAAAAGTTCAAAAGTAACCAAGGTGGATGCATCATGATCAGTATGTGCAGAACAGGAAGTTTTGAGAGGTGAGGAATGACTTTTTTATTTGAATCATAGTTCTGCTTTCCTTTTGATCAACTTGTGTCTGTAAAGTTTGCTTCAGTGATGCTAACAGCGATGCATATTATTTTGTAGAGGATATGCAGCCCTTTTATGCAATGAAGTGGTTCCAATGCTGGTCTTTGATGGCTTGCCTTTACCTATGAAATCCCCTGAAAGAGAAGAAAGGTGGAGGTCAGTTTAAAGGAATTTTGGAAGTTGGTTTCTTTTTATGATTGTAATTACTGGTAAAGTGCTATTGTTCGTGACAAAAGCAAATAAGATTTTCTAGATCTGACTGTGTGGTGCACTTTGTGGTTGGAAACATTATTTTTGACACATATCTGCACACATTTTGCACATATCTTATTGTTCAGTACTTAATTTTTGATTATTACTTGACTTTAGCTTATGTGAAATGCATCAATTGATGAACTTTTCTCATGTAAGTTTTTGTTTCCACTTTCACATGTTGTAGGTCACTGTAACTGCTACAGTTCTGCCATCTACTGACTAGTGTTTCAGGAAGTGAACTTGAGCTACAACTGGATTAACAACAAGGTGTTAGAAAATAACCCCCCAAAAAAATCTGCACTGATTGGTTTAAAGTCATGTTTCTATTAAACAATTAGGTCACGAGTTCGAGATTTCTGAGGGTGCAGCCCGAGTCAACTATCATGCATAGAAATCAAGAGCGAATAATTTAATTGTTTTAGTACAGATGTACTAGTCGTTCAAAACTACATCTAAATGCTCTTCACAGACACTTCGAAAACGCAAAGAAGTGGCCGCCATTTTGGTATCATGTAATGATGGCACGAGCAAAGAGAGTTGACATTTTGATGATCAAAGTAAACAAGTTGTTTTGGTTTTTTTCATTATGGTGTTTTCTAAAAGAAATGGAAAACATGTTCTCCATATTTCTATCAAGTTATATCGAAGGAAAGTTTAGGAGAACTCAAAAAGCGCTGGAAACACTTGCCTAACAGCTCGTGTTCCCAAACTTTCACTCATGCTTCTATTGTGCAATTAGATTATGAGCTCAAGATTTCTATCGCAGCCCAAGTCAACTATCATGCATAGAAATTGAGAGCGAATAATCTAATTGTTTTAGTATTAATCTACTAGTCGTTCAAAAATTTATCTAAATCCTCTTTACAAACGCTTCAAAAACGCCAAGAAGTGGCCGTCATTTTGTTAACAAGGGCACACTGCTAAGCTACATACTATCTATCACAGAATAGAAAGCGAGTAGCATAGCCAATCAGAGGGTGGCATTTGTGATAGAACGCTAGTAGATTTATACTAGTAAACAATTAGATCATGAGCTCGAGATTTCTGAGGGCGCAGCCCAAGTCAACTATCATGCATAGAAATCGATAGCAAATAGTCTTATTGTTTTAGTATAAATCTACTAGTCGTTCAAAACTTCACCTAAATCCTCTTCACAGACACTTCAAAATTGCCAAGAAACAGCTGTCATTTTGTTTACAAAGGCACACTGCTGCGCTACTCACTACATGTATCTATCACAGAATAGATAGTGAGTAACATAGCCAATCAGAGAATGGCATTGTGATAGAACGCTAGTAGATTTGTACTAAAATTCAGAAGAAACATGGTACATTCCATTTCTTAATTAAAAGTTGCTCATGGTTTGACAACTGTCCATATCTGATAAAATATACTTAGAGAATAGAAATTCATATCAAAGTTCCAGAATTAATGAAAACCAAGCACATTGTGACAAGGGAGGTTGAATTGTTTCCTGGAAGATAACGGAATGAATCCAGTAATTAAGATGTTTGTTTTAGTATCTAGCAAACTATCCATTTCTGTCACCCTACTTGTGACCCGCTCCTCTCCGTATACACTCAATGCAGAAATACATGTCCTCTGAATGCTTTCTGATTTCTAACACATTATGTGGGACTTTTGCAATATGCGTGCTCAGGGTTTCAGAATATTTCCTGGCTGGGTTTGAATTTGCAAACATGGAACATCTCCTGAAAAGCTTAATTGGGAAAGTGGTCATGTAAGATATATTTCTTTATTGATCTATGTATGTAATTATTACATAATTATTTATTTATTCATTTTATTTATTTATTTATTTATTTATTTGTTTATTTATTATCTCATTGCCATATTTCAGACTTGCTTGGGTTGCTATCGGTGACCTGCGGGGCCTTTATTTTGAAGAGCACCACCTTGCGCTTCCCAAAATATGCGCATTCCCTCAGGAAACTCTTCTTTTAATACATTTTAGAATAAAGGAAGAGTCCCTGTGGACAGTTTCTTCACATTCTTTCATTTCTTATTCGATTTTGCAATACCTCTCTCTCTTTTCCAAGTTGACACGTTTTTTCTTCTCGTCATGGAGTTTTTCGATCAGGTCTTTGGTTTCCTTCTCTTTTTCTTTTAGTAACTGGACATGACTCTGTTCCCTAGCAGCTGCCCTAGTTGATCTCTTTAAAACATAGCCGTTTTGGACTTTTGGACGTAGGGAGCACAGATAACGCTGCATTCTGGAGACCTCACCCTTAGCTCGGCCGTCTCTATGTTGTCCAGGATCCATTTCTCAGTTACTAGTCCTACGGAACTTCTCTGAAGGATTTCCACATTTGAGCAGGGGATCCCTGACAAATGTCTACTTTTGAAAACACACAAAAAAAGAATATCCAGCTAACCTTTCTTTGAAAGCATTGTTACAATGTTGTCTATATTCTGTTTGGAAAATATCTTTCCCATAACTAAGTTTAAAGGACCAATCTTTAAAAATAGCAACTTCTTGCGAAACGTTCCAGTCATTACGTACCAGTAGTAAAGGAACAAATCTAATGACAACTAGTGCATTGCAGTGGCACTTGATTTTAACCATTTGGGGTGACTGTAGGTGAGGGTAAAAAAAGGACCAAGGTGGAAAACGTCTGTCACACTCACTTATCCTCATCGGGCCCATGAGGACTCTTGAGGCCGGGGAAAACTTCTGTCAGGTGGACAAGAATCTCCGACAAGGGGACCATCAAGCACTTAATAACTGGCAACAAGGGAAACAGTGAGTTTTGTTTCCTCGAGATCCTCAATGTTCCCCGAGGCGGAGGGAAAACAAAACTCACTGTTTTCCATAGGGTCAGTCACTGAGTGTTTTGCTATACCTCCCAACTCAAAAATGGAAGAAACTGCGAAAAAATTGTTTGCATTGCCCCAGCTGGCACTCGGCCGGTTCCGCGGTTTCAAGGTGCACGACCTGAGCACGCGTGAGTCGAAAGTTCAAGTTGTTGTCTCCCTAGGGATTTAGTGAGTTTTGACCCATGACACGTGAGACTTTCTCCTCCAATCGGAAAACGTGTTTGAGCTGGGAGGTATAACAATATTCTTCTGTAGCCCAAGAGAGACACGAGCACTTTCAGCCCTTCGTTTGGTTTTCGTGACATCTGGAAAGACCTTTTTAACACGATCAAATGTACTCGCATCTACTGGCTTCAAATCCGGGCGGTTTTAACAAAGCTCACTTATATAACTAATTCGAGATAGTTGACTTGTTTTAGGATATAATTTATCCACCTTGGGTCCTTAGTACCGTAAGATACCAGGGCTGGAAGGCCACACTCCATCCCCACACCGCTTCGTTTAGAAGTTAGCTTAAATAAAGAGATTCAGTATAAACTCTTACTCGATGGAACCTCTTAAAGAGACAGAAGTAAGCCCTGGCCAAACGGACTTGCAAGTAGTCGCAAGTTGAACCTGTACACGTAAGTCGCAAAAAAACGATATCCCGTATTTCATTGGCTGATAGGTTGCTATAACAACGAGTGGACGTCACTCAACTTGCGTGACTTGGGTTGGGTGGCCAAATAAAACGCTGAAAAACTTGCGTCGACTTGCGTGCAAATTTGCTTTCGACCAAAATTAGCAAGTTATCGAAAGTCAACGGAAGTGCACGCAAGGCCTGGCCAGACTTACTCACAAGTAGCCGCAAGTTGAACTTGCATGGAAACTTGCGTTGAGTGATCAAACGGACTCGCAAGTTCCTCGCAAGTACACGCAAGTCGCAAAAAAAATCCTATATTTCCTTGGCTGATAGGCTGCTACAATAAAGAATGGAGTCACTCAACCTGCGTGACTTGGGTTGGGTGGCCAAATAAAACGGTGAAAACCTTCTGTCGACATGCGTGCAAATTTGCTTTCGACCAAAGTTAGCGAGTCATCGCAAGTCAACGCAAGTGCACGCAAGGCCTGGCCAAACGGAGTCGCGAGTTTTCAGCTTGCGCTTACTTGCGTGTCTGTTTGCCCAGGCCTTAAGAGGAGAGTTGGCCTGCGTTCCAGTCATTTTATTTCCAGGAGCGAGAGGTTAGCGAAATATTTTTCTCGTGATAAGGATTTTTTCTGTTTTGTCTTTTGTTTTTTGTTTGTTCGTTTTATTTATTTGTCGTTTTTGTTTTTTGCTCCCAGCCAGGAACGTTTTCTGTTCGCCTCTCGCGTTTGGAAAAAGAAAACGACCTCAACGTAGTCTAAAGTAAAGATAATATAAATTCTTTTTTTTCTCTGGGACCAAATGAACTGATGAACATCGAGGCCTCCGTGATACATGTAATTTGTGATAAAGCGGTTTTCAAATGAGTGTCGTCACTGTGTCGTAAAACCAAAACCAAACTAATTAGCGCGAATCGAGCCTACCAATTTCAAAGCGCAGTAAAACCAAAACTAAAATCAAAGTAATTGCCTGATTACTATTCACTCTCTAATTAGTTAATTTGAGTGTCGAAAGTAATCAGGCAATTACTTTGGTTTTGGGTTTGGTTTTACTACGGTTTGAGATTGGCTGAGTTGTAATTGGTTTGGTTTTGGTTTTACGCCACTCATTTGAAAACCGCTCTAAAACCGCTCGAATGGTACATAAATTAATATTTTGCCGACGCGGAACAAAGAACTGGCTGCGAGCGTAGTAAGCGAAGGTTCGTGACCTTTGAGTGTGTTCGGTTGTGCAATGAAGGGAAAATAGGAAAGGTTCAACTTTATATCACACAATAAAAGGGTACCCCAGTGCTTGTTGCCGAATACCGTCACAATAAACCATTGTTCAAATGCCGTTCAATTAACAAGCTTGCCATCTATCAAGCAACAAAAGCGAAAGTTATTACCGGCATTACAGAGATTGATAAGTACGTCAACAGACAATAGCCCGGGGTAAATAAATTACTGATGTAACTGAAAGGTCTTATACGGTGCATACACGAAAACTTCTACAGGTCAAAGCAGTTCTTCAGAAAGAGCACTCCTCTAACAGGAAGAGACAAGGACAAGTAAGAGAGTTAAGGTAAACTCGAGATGATGGAAAATTTAACGTTGTTGTCAGTGCAGCCATGAAGCTTCTGCTTACAAGAAGCGATTTAATGTAGCCTTTTTTGTTGTTGATTGAAAATTTGCATTGCTCTCATTGCGTTTACGTGACACTTTTGGGCAGTTTGTAGAGCAAAACGTAACCAATATGAAAATTGCAGATTTGGTTCAATCGCGATTTAAAGTGTTCTTAACTGAGGACTTGTTCGTAAGTTAACTGAAATGTTCTTATCTCTGCTGCTTTTAGTGGAAAAGATGCCTCCAGGGTCTAGACTACAGAGTTATGCACCTGATGTAGTTAAAGGAAAAGCGATCCTTTTCACATTTCTCGCAAGTTTTCTTGCTGTATACAAAGGACAGCGTAAGTTTTTTCTTTTGTTTGTGTTTTTTTTTTTTTTAACTCCGGGAGATACAGCAGAGTGTAACCGAGACATTTGAAACTTGAGAGGTTAACTAATCGAGTTCGAACGGTTTTGTTCGAAAGTACCACTCCCACCATAGTAACATGCAAACAAATATCGTCCTGTTACGTGGCTTTAAAACGATACAATCCTACACGCACAGGCTTGTTCTGAAAAGTATGTCTTTCGGAAAATGAAAAAAATTTCGACTGAAAAGATTAATCCTTAGATTTAGGCGAGACTGCAATAAAGAAAAACCGTTTTAAGATTCACTTGTGTGCATAGTAGATAAACTGGTTCCCTGCTCCCGGACTTTATTATCGACTAACATTCACAGAACTTTTAGCCAAATACCTTAAGAAGAACTGATTGGCGATTATGATATGTTGTTTTAACAAGTGATGGACGTAACAAAGTGAAAATGAAATTGAAAGTGAAACTAAATTTCTTAGCTCTTAGCCATTTACTTTGTTTTGTATCAGTGTTTTGGATACATGTGAAATGTATCTATGCGACATCATTTACCAGTGCCGGTTTCGATGTTTGTAAATGTATTCCACTTTGCACAATGATTGTCTCTGTTTACCCCTTAGAAATTTTTCTTGCAATTCTAATTTCGCTGAGGTCTTCTCGTTCAACTAAAGCTCGGTAAGCGTTTAACCACTGAAATAAGTTAGCTTAATTTCAAGATCGACGTTTTCAATCGCCGATTCTGGCAATATTCAAGTAAAGATCTGATTGCGGAGAGAACTATTAAATGCAGTCTGAAACCGAAAACCAACAAACGTAGTTTGCCTCTGGAAATCGTTCTGTCTGGTAAATCTTTTTATTCCTAATTAAAGTTTGTTGCTCTTTTTCGTTTTTCTTAAGGACCATGTTTACTGTATTTTTTCAACCTTTTTCTCATCTCAAGTTGACGACCTAATTTTAAAGTAAGCTTAAAAGCTTACTTTAAGTTGCTTTTAGCGAAATTGTTAAACAATCCAGTTTCTCGACTCCTTTAAAGTTGTCAGACCTGTTTTAGTAAGTTGTAAACAGGCGTCAATTGGCAAGTGCGGTTGTCTCTTTCTCGAGTCAACAATGTTCAGAAATGATGGCGTTTCTTTCGGCAATGGCTTAGTGTACTTGTTCGAAGAATCGCTATTTCTTCTCTAGGGCATCAAAAGCAACTATCAGTGTAAAACTACGCAATATCGATGAAAATAATAATTGAAGGTTTTTATATGCATGCACGCTCCGAGGGCATTCTTTCGATCAACTCGTGTTTGTTTAGTTAATTAGTTAAGCCGATCTGTGGGTGCTTGTTTAGCCAATTAGTAAACCACTCTTGCGTCAATGCGAGTTTGCGAGGTCATGCTAACCAAGGTTTTGTTTTCCCTTTTCTGTACAGTAGCATCAGCCTCGACGCCAAACTTGGCGTCCTCTGTCAACCTTCAAACTTACTCAGCGGTTTCTCCAAGTGGCGGCGTCTCACCCACCCAGACGTCAGTTTGGCCCTCCTCGACTGCCAGCCCCAGTCTACCTCAGACTTTTCAGATTTCCATTCAGTTGTCTCAGACAACCTGGCATGAAGATCTCTATGACAAGCAGAGTCCGACGTTTGTTGCTTTGGCAACGAACCTAACCACGGCGGTTTCGGATGCTCTCAAGACGGTTGGAGATGCGACGGTTGAAGTTGTAGAATTCAAACCAGGAAGTGTAATTGCTGTTCTGGATGTAACGACGTTAAGTTCAAATGAAAAGGCCGTGAAGAGCAAGCTTACAGAAGAGATGAAAGATGGACAGCTTGGCGGTTTCTCTGTTGATCCGACAGTCTACTCTGGAACTCTATTCGAAGTTGTTCTCAGGGTCGTATCAGCATGTAACGACTCTTTCGCAGACAAGGGCTTTGATCAGAAAGAAGAATTCGAGAGGGCCTTAAGCAGTGAGATGTCGGCCAATCCCGAATTTCTTGGTGCTAACATTCAGCGCATCGATTGTTCTACAGCAGGCAACATCACCATAGTAACAGCACGTGTCCAGATAGGTGGTCCATCAGCGTCTAGTCCATATAAGGAGTTGCGCCGCCTGAGAAGTCAAGTTGATGCCGGCCGGGTTGGCAACTTCACAGTGGTCCCTGATTGGAAATCATACACTCCTGGAGAAAAAGTGTTTTACGTATACGTCACTCTGCAGACGGAGACTGCCGACGCGGCGCTAACCAGGAAACAACTGGAGCAGTTCGTAGAAAGCGAATTTAAGAGTGAAGACAATTTTAGGTATGTACACGCTACCACGCCTGGGAGTAAAACTGCGATCATCGAGATTGGAATGTCTTCTTCAACGTCCGAGTTTCTTTCACTGGCACTTAGTCCCCTTGCTGCTGATCTTCACAGGGCAAAACTTGGAAACGTAACAGTTGTTAGGAAAGAGAACAGAGTCACAGTCGATACGAGGTCTTTGACAAGAAAGACATTCGAAGTAACCTTCGTACAGTACGTTTCAAGCTGCGAGAGTGACTCGGCACACCACAAGAATCTTAGCCAAGGTTTCTGGCAGTTTATAGACGAGAGCATGAAAGCCAATAACATTAAGGAAGTTTACTTGGAAACCAAGGTCAAAATTATAAAATGTCAGAACTCTACAACTCTACGAGGCTTTGCTTACATTTACTTGAAGCCGACTGCACAAGATGACATTGGACAGTTCGTTCGGCCATTTTACAAATGTAAAACACTAATTAATATTTACAACGCGGGCTTTAGAATAACGCTCAAGACACCAACACAACCCGATACCAAGGGACAGTGGTCCCCTAAACTCGGCGGCGTGTCGGTGACTTACGTCTGTCCCAAGCCTAAGCCTCCCACTAAACCACCCACGCTTTCCACCGTGAGCACAGCCACGCCGCAACCCACAAGACCGCCAACAACTGAAGCTAGTTTATCCAGTACTGGAAAAACCACTGATGAACCTTCAAACGCTACCGAACCCACTCATCCACCAGAAACAACGACACCGACGACACCACCGACAACCAGAGTCATTCTCCCAACCCTGGCTATCGAACCGGAGTTGTACGTCAAGCTGAAGCTCGGACTAACCTGGGGCGAGTTTTGCTCCAAGAGGGATGCTCTGAAAGAGAGGATAGCGTGGAACGTGCGTGACAGTAACGACACCAGGGTGTCCCCTGACAGGATTGTTTATATCAATGTAGAGCGAAACTGCGCGGACCTTGGGAAAAAAGACGAGCTGGCAGTGGTGTGGTTTTATGTTTCTAAATCTGGCTCCAAAGAAGTGCACAAGGATCTGACTTTAAAAGTTTATGAACTCTTTAAGATGTTCTTTGAGAATGGTAACACAAAACAATTGGGGCCTGACTTCCAGGAAAAGGTAACGCCTGTGGCATTCATACCTCGATAATGATAGCAGCTTTTATTTAAATCGTGCCAACCAAGTACGGCTAACGGGTCACCTTTTTCGCTATTCGTTAAGCTTTCTGGGTAAATATTTACTTGTCTTAGCTGATGGTTCATTCATCTTGCCGGTTTGCTCTCGATCCTCTAACTTTCAGCTTGCTTACCCCTGGTAGTTCACAGCTCACCATTTTGGGTGAGGCCTTGCCTTAAATTCATATTTCAACTGTTTATCTGTTTGTTTAAGAACCGCCAATAATTACCAAATTTAGTTGAGTAACAAATGTTTGGTGGACAAATTAAGCGCGCTAAGATCATGCTCCACAAGTGTGCATGAATCATTTGTGAGTACTTTCTCATTTTTATTTTGCTTACGGTTTTTTCCAGGTTGTTCAAGTAGAGTTGGCTGGTAACGACGCTGCGAATTACGAAAAACAGACTAACAATAAGATGCCCTCCTGGTTGATTATTCTCCTCGCCATTGCTGGAGCCGTGGGTCTGTTTCTCATGCTGTTAGCATGTTGCTGCGTGAGTTATACTTCTTTGTTATACTTTTAGAGTTTCAAATCTTCATGTGACTTTTGAAATTATTATTGAGTTTGCTGAGCTCTTTAGCTCTGTATGATTGGTTTACTGTCCAGCCAATCATAGGAAAGAAGGTGTCTCCTCAGCTAATCATTTTGGCGTAATTTGACTCACGCCAGTCTCGTTTCCCGCGCTTGCGCGAAAGTACCATTTGAACTGTCACAGAATTGCAGCAAATAAAACCAACTATCCCAGTAGTGATCACACAATTGTTAACTATACCTCAGAACGGCTGGAATTGCTTGTTTGTCTCCAGAAAAGGGGATAGCTAAATCAATGAACTGGCATAATCAAACCTGAGCCACTGTCGCGATCCCTTGTCATCTGCTCAGGCTGTGATCATAGGTGGATTATTCCACTACACACTAACAATTAAATTATGAACTCGAGATTTCAATCGTTTGATGGTGACGAGCGCGTAACCAGCATAGAAATCGAGAACGAATAATCTAATTCTCTTAGTATATATCTACTAGTCGTTCAGAACTTTATCTAAATCCTCTTCACAGACACTTCGAAAACGCAAAGAAGCGGCCGCCAGTTCAATAACAGTTGCACACTACTAGGCTACACACTATCAACAACAGAATAGGTAGTGAGAAGCGTAGCCAATACGAAAACGGCATTCTTTAAAAAACGCTAGTAGATTTGTACTTCTGGATGACAGCGTACGATAGCTCCGAAAATCAGATTGCAGCATTTGCATTAGCATACTTGTAAAATTCTACTAATCTTAGGTTATGGTGTTCTGTTGTCTTCAATAATTAGCGGTTTTTTTAATTAAATTCATGGTGCTACTTCTAGTTGCGGGGACAAGCAATTCTTGTAACTCTATATAAGAAAAGAAAAAAAAAATGAAAGTTCATAGTTCAAAGTACTTCGAAACCCGTCAAAACTGATTCAAAAAATGTTTACCACTGCAGTTGTTTTGCTGCGGTGTGAGACGGCGCAGACGAAGGAGAAAATACGGAACAGAGCATCCTCAGGTGCTACATGTTGTTCATGTTGATAGTAACG